ACAAAAATAAAAAATAAAAAAAGGCTGCTGTTTGTCCCTTCCTGCCAAAAGCTCTATGGAAATAACAGAAAATTTATTTTTAAAATAGTAATTCACCCCAAAAAGGATACCATGATTGTACCAGAGCCACCAAAGAACTTCAAGATGGGGCTGGGGATGTGGCTCAGCGGTAGCGCGATCGCCTGGCATGCGTGCGGCCCGGGTTTGATCCTCAGCACCACATACCAACAAAGATGTTGTGTCCGCCGAGAACTAAGAAATAAATATTAAAAATTCTCTCTCTCTCTCTCTCTCTCTCCCTACTCTCTCTTTGAAAAAAAAAAAAAAAAAAAGAACTTCAAGATGATAAAAAGCAGGTGTTTTCAGATTGATGGAGACACCAGACCGACAATGACAACCTAAAATGCACATAGCTAAAATCCTAAAGAGGTGACAACAGGACATGGAAAGAAACCCCAAACTCAGAATCCACAGAGTGAATGAAAGGACTCAGTGGAGCTCATCAAGGCTCTGGGGGGAAAGTCCACTGCCTGCCTGCCCCCCCTCTGCCATCAGGCCCTCAGGTGGCCCCTGGGCATCAGCAGCCTTCCTGCAGTGGGGCGTCCTGAGAGCTACTGGCCTCGCAGCAGGCAGGTGAGGAGGACAAGAGTGAGAACGTGCAGGTGGGTGACCTGCACAGCCGCCTCTACGGCCTGCACAGCCTGGAGCAGCAGTCACCAGCGGCAGAGTGCTGAGGAGGGAGTACACTGCTTCACAAGAAATGGGGTACTGGCAGAAACGTGGGTCCCAGCGAAGTCCTTCACGGCTGGAGTCACCTCACAGTGAGGCCTGTCAGTCAGCACCTTCCTTCCCATTCAGAAAGAAGCTAGAGAAGCCACACAGCCCAGCAGGACATGAGATAACCCAGGCCCACACTCTCGCCTGTGTTCAGGCCAGCAGATCTCTAGAAGGACCAGCGCGTGAAAGAAAGCATAGGAAAACAAGCAGGGCCGCGACCTGGAGTCCAGTTTAACACCCTAGGAGAGAACATGATAAAATATGCATAAAATATGATGCTCCCACAATGGAACAATAGGAGATGAGTAAAACTTCAACTATGCCTGGATGCAAAAGTCAGTAGAAGAACTAGGAAACAAGCAAACCTAACAATATTGAGAAAATCTCCCTAAAAAGAACCAGAGGTCAAAGAGATGAAAAATACCCGGAAGAAAAATAAAAGCCAGGTTTGATAACACAAACCTATACATTCCCAGTGACCCCTCTGAGGCGGAGGATCATAAATTCAAGGCCAGCCTGTGCAACTTGGTGAGGCCCTTTCTGAAAATAAATAGGGCTGGGTGTAGCTCAGTGAGGGAGCGCTTGCCTAGATGTGTGAGGCCCTGGGTTCAGTCCCCAGTAGCACAAAGAAAAAAGCAACACACGCAGAGAATATGTTGCACAAAATAATTTTAAAATAATTCATTCATACCTCACTTCTCATACTTCACTCATTAATCCCCTAGCCTGTCACCTGGGGTTTCTTCCTGCATTCAGGATACACTCCCACCTCCCACCAATGCTATCCACTGGAAAACTGAGGTTGTCCTGTAGGCCTCTCCAAGGTCATTGCTAGTAGTAATCCAAGGAGGGAGAAATAGAAACTTTACAGATGTTTTAGAATCTATTCCTGTTACAATGATGCATTGAAATTACTCCAAAACGTAAATAACTTCAGAAATGACACTGATTTTGGTCACAAATCTACAGTTTAGGACCGCTGGTCTCTGCCCCTCTCATCCTCAGCTCTGATGATAGAAAGAAGCTGGAATTATCTGCAGTCTTACTCATCGCTGCAGTTGGTGCCAGCTGACAGCTGAGGGCTTAGCTGGGTTATTGGCCAGAATCCCACCCTTGGCCTATCCAAGTGGTGTGAGCTTCCCCTTGACTTGGTGGCAGCATTCCAAGGGCAGGGATGAGGAGCGAGGGAGGAGGGAGGGCTCTGCAGCAGCTATGTAGCCCCTATGGCCTAGCCCCATCAGTCATGCAGCATCATCTCCTCCTCGATCCGCGAGCCAGGCAGCCCAAAGCAGGAGACTCCACCTCCTGTGGAGTCACAGGTTCTGTTACAGCATAGAGAACAGAAATATTATTATGACAACTTTAAGAAAATACACCTGCCACATTAACATGAGCCATTATTGTTTGAGCTTGGGAGGGTCCCGTCCCAAAGATTGAAATATCTATCTCTGTACCTTGAAACTCATTTTCAAAGTCATCCTCTACCAAGTCTAGGCCCACTTTGGGAGTATGGGCTGAAGTAAGAAGACAGATGTCAGCCTTACTCAGCTCCCAAATGAGGCACTGCAGCCCAGCTTACACGCTGACTACCATCTTACTCCTGGCCAAGGGATGGTGTCTACTGAAACACTGCTTCCTGTCCAATTTTTGTAAGCCATCCACACGAACCTTACCATGGTCCCACACCATGACCTAACTTCCCTTTTAAGTTCGACCTGATATCCTTTGAACTTGTGAGTAGTCTTTCCTATGGGCATTCCACAAGAATCCATAAGCATTCCTAACTGTGGGTTTTCTTTCTTATTCACTTAATTAATAAATTGAACAACCATCCAAGTATTCTGGATTGTGTACCAAACCTGTTGTTTTAGATTTTTGGTCCAGCTCTGTAGCTGACTGGAACCTCTGTTCCAGTCCTGAATGACAGTCCTTTATATAGCGTCCTAATGACCCCCACCATCCCTGTACTGATTACATCAGAAACAGTCCTTGACCTGCTCCTTCCTGCTCTCTGCCACTGAATCACGTACTACTCCTGAGTGCCAGACCAAACCAAGATATGCATGTGAATTTTCCAGATAATCAAAGTTTGACCCTCTAAATGTCAAAATGAGTGAAAAATCATTCTAAAAATCCTTGAACTGTATCCCTCCTCTTCAACATAATATCCAGAAGATCTTCGATCAGCTTTTTACCATGCGGAACTGTCAATATTTCCCATATTTGAGCAAAATGTCACTACAAATAGAAGGAAGTAAAAGGGAGAAGACTGCAGCATTTTTGCTTCTAGAAACCTAAATTTTAGAATAGATTAGTATTCTTATGTTTTTATCCATGTATGCACATCTCATAATAAACTAATTTTACTATTGAAATAAGAGCCAAGAGGCTGGGGTTATAGCTCAGTGGTAGAGCGCTCACCTCACAGTGCAAGGCCCTGGGTTCGATCCTCAGCATATAAATAAATAAAGTTATTGTGTCTAACTACAACTACAAAAAATAAATATTAAAAAATAAATAAAAGGTATCTTTAAAATAAGAACCAAGGGCTGGAGATGTGGCTCAGCGGTAGCGCGCTCGCCTGGCATGCGTGCGGCCCGGGTTCGATCCTCAGCACCACATACCAACAAAGATGTTGTGTCTGCCGAGAACTAAAAATAAATAAATATTAAAACAATCTAACCAAGATTAGTCTACATGCCCTTGTGTTAAAAAAAGGAGCTTTAGTTTCTTCCCATACAAACTGGGGTACTTTACCTGGATGGCTTCTGGTTCATAAATTGTTAACTTTGTTTCTCTATTGAGAACACACTGAACTCTGATTTTATGGGGGTGGGGGGAGATTTAGTTCTATAGAGTTCCTTCAGAGCAATGTGAGCCTCTAGAAACAGAAATGTTGCTGGACCTCTTCCATGATCCAGAAGTGTTAAAAATAAATTTATGTTGTCCATGAGCTACCTAGCCTATGAAACTTTGTTGGAGTGAACTATATTTTCAGATACAGAAGANGGCTGGAGATGTGGCTCAGCGGTAGCGCGCTCGCCTGGCATGCGTGCGGCCCGGGTTCGATCCTCAGCACCACATACCAACAAAGATGTTGTGTCCGCCGAGAACTAAAAAATAAATATTAAAAAAAAATAAATAAATAAAAATAAAAAAAAAATAAAATAAGAACCAAGCCTGTATTCTACAATTCAGATGTACAGATGTATATAATGTTCTTTATTTTCTATAACTGAATTACTCTTCAGTTATAGAAAATATGAACCCCATTCCTACAAATTAGAGTGGGAATGGAGGTGGACAAATGGACAAAAACTTAACTCAGTCTCCTCCAATTAAATCAGTCTCCTTGCTGGGCACGGTGATGCACGCCTGTAATCCCAGCAACTCAGGAGGCTGAGGCAGGAGGATTGGGAGTACAAAGCCAACCTCAGCAAAAGCGAGGCACTAAGCACTCAGTGAGACCTGTCTGTAAATAAGATACAGAGTGCCCGGCTCTTCAATATTCAGATTTAAAACTTAACATTGATGTTCTTGTTCTAGGCTCCACCAACCCTGCCCTTGTATCAACGCAGCCGTCTGATGGAACTTTCTGCGGTGATGGGACTGTTCTATCACTGCAGCTCACTTGTGGTCACGAGTCACAAGCAGCTGAGCACCTGAAATAGGGATCGTGTGGCTGAGGATTGAATCTTAGATTTTATCTCATTTTATGAGGATTGAATCTTAGATTTTATCTCATTTTAATCAATTTAAATCACAATATGTGACCAGTGTGTAGTAGAGTGGGCAGTGCAGAGGAACAATAAACTTCAGGACACAAGACCAGGCACAGAAAGAAGACAGGGAAAGTAGTTCACTTGCAAGGTTCTTCAAAAATATGGTCCCCATTGCCATAATGCGCCACTTTGTCAAAAAGGAGTGCTTTTTGCTGTCCAGAATGGGATATATGGCCCATTTGTTTCTTCTAGGACCTATAAATTTTGTTCAGAGCATACAAACCTCATTATTTTTTAGAAGAAATCAAAGTTAATAAAAGCAAATGGTTGGGGCTGAGGTTGTAGCTCAGTGGTAGAGCACTTACCTAGCACATGTGCGACACTGGGTTCGATCCTCAGCACCCCATAAAAATAAAGGATTTGTGTCCACCTAAAACTAAAAATATCTTCTTACAAAAACAGATGGGTCATAGAAAAAAATGGTATTGTGATTCTTTTTAGGAGAAGGAACGTGAGCTTGAAATTAAAAACATCTATACCAATCGAATACTTAAAAATTTACATGAATTAGACGATTACCCAAAAGGTATGCTTTATTAAACTTTTCTCAAAATATATTTTAACCATCTAGTCATATTTTTCTAATTTACTTAGTCAAAATAATGGGTGTGTGTGTGTGTGTGTGTGTGTGTGTGTGTGTGTGTTGCTGGGGATTGCACCTGGGGCCTTGTGTGTACTAGGCAAGTACTCTATCACTGAGCCACATTCCAGTCCCCAAATAATGGACATGTTAAAAAGCATCTTATTAGTTACTGAAAACCATTTTGTGATTTTGGAATAAAAAAACTGTGATATTGTTGAGCTACAAAAAAAAAAAAAATGAAAATGCCTTCCTGTTTTCTCATTTTCAGCTTAGTATTTTAGGTCTTAAGGTGGAAGAAAAGGATAACTTTTCCGCTTGAAGCAAAATCTGCCAAAACCCGAACTTTCCACGTGTATCTGTTAGTCAGTGTATGTCTCTGACAATTAACTTTTATTGAGGTATACTCTACATCAATAAAATGCACCTGTTTTAGCTTCTCAGCTCAGTGCATTTGGGCAGATGCTCGTACCCAGGTGGCCACACTCTGATCAAGATCCCATCTCCCCAGGAAGCTTCCTCAGGCCCCTCTGCAGTCAGCACTCTCCACCCCTGGCCCAAGCCACCTTCCATCTCCCTCTGTCACAATAGCTATTTGTCTGTTCTAGAATTTCACACAGTAGAATCTCAGAGCATGTTCTCCTCTGACTCTGGCTTCCCCTGTTCAGCATAGCGTGTCTGAGATTCATCCATGTTGTCACTACTATCATGAGCTTGTACCTTTGTATTGCTGAGCAGTATTTTTCCTTGACGAAAGTACATACTCACCCTCCCACCACCATCTCCCAGCATAAGATTCTGGTCAAGGGAGGTTCAATAGGAACACGCACCTCTATTTTGRTAGAAAAAGTAACTACATATTTACTTTCAAAGGCAGCACCTACGATTTCCTTGCCTCTCTTTGTTTGTTCTGGCTTATAATCCAGAGTAACAGCCCCCAGAAAAGACGATGAACAGCCAGGGAGTGGAGATGAGAAAGCGCTAGGTCCAGGTACTCCAGCAGTCCACCCGCGCACAGGCCCTGCGGCAGGAGGCTGCAGGGGCTGGGCCACTCGGTTCTGAACCCCTCCCCCCAGGCCAGCGTGCTCTCTTACCCCAGCACCGACCTGTTTTCACTCCACACCATGATGCCTGTGACCCCCGTCACCCAAAATAAGACAAAATGAGCGAAATGGCAGGAAAAAGAAGAGGAAATTAGTAAATGTTATACTTCAATTGAATGTCTAGAAAATACCTAATATACTGTGATTTATTATTACATTGCATATTTCAATGGTATTTTATGTTTAAATCAATATTGCCTCCAAATGTAAAGTATGTGTCTTACCTATCCTATAGTTTCTTCAACAAAATCAGTTCAAGCAGACAGAAAAAGTGTGTCATTTACATGTATGAGCCACCAGGAAACCCAAAAATCAGAAGATGTTCCATCTTTGACAACTAAGGTACAGTAAATTTGTATTACAGTATCCTTTTTTTCCATATTTTTTAATTTTCTCACTTGGGGATTAGAATTTTTAAGAGTTCTTTTTAGATACACATGACAGTAGAATGTATTTTGATATATTACACATACATGGAGCATAACTTCCCATTCTTGTGGTTGTTCGTGATGTGGAGTTCCACTGGTCATGTATTCATATATGAACATAGAAGTTACGATGGACTCATTCCACTGTCTTTCCTATTTTCATCCCCTTCCCTTCCCTTAATTCCCCTTTGTCTAATCCAATGAACTTCTGTTCTTCCCACATACAACTTATTGTGTGTAAGCATCCACATATCAGAGAGAACATTTGAACTTTGGATTTTGGTGAATTGGCTTATTTCACTTAGCATGATAGTCTCCAGATCCATGCATTTACCAGAAAAATGTCATTCTTTTTATGGCTGAGTAACATTCCAATGTGTATATATACCACGTTTTCTTTGTCCATTCATCTGTTGAAGGACATGTAGGTTGTTTCCATAGCCTAGCTATTGTAAACTGAGCTACTGTAAACATTGATGGGGCTGCATCACCACAGTATGCTAATTTTAACTCCTTTAGATACACACCAAGGAGCTGGGATATAGCTCAGTTGGTATAGAGCTTGCTTTACATGCACAAAACCTTGGGTTCAATCCCCAGCAACACACACACACACACACACACACACACACACACACACACACAAAGATATATACCACGGATTGGTATAACTGGATCAAATGGTGGTTCCATTCTAAGTTTTCTGAGGAATGTCCATATGGCTTTCCAAACGGTTGCACAAATTTGCAATCCCACCAGCAATGTTTGGGTGTACCTTTTACCCACATCCTCAGAAACATTTATTGTTACTTGTATTTTTGATTGTTGCCGTTCTGACTGGAGTGAGATGAAATCTCAGTGTAGTTTTAATTTACCTTTCTCTAATTTCTAGAGATGTTGAACATTTTTTAATATATCTGTTCACCATTAGTATTTCTTCTGTTAAGCAACTGTTCAGTTCCTTATGGATTAGATGATTTGGTTTTTAGTGTTTTTTTGAGTTCTTTATATATCCTGGAGATTAATGCTCTAAATGGCAGGTGGCAAAGATTTTCTTCGATTCTGTAGGCTCTCTCTTTATGCTCTTGATTCTTTCCTTTGCAGTGAAAAAGCTTTTTTAGTTTGATACCATCCCATTTACTGATTCTTTTTTTTAAGTTGTCAATGGACATTTATTTATATAGATATATACCAAGGGGCTAGGATATAGCTCAGTTGGTAGAGTGCTTGCCTTACATGCATAAGGCTGAGAATCGAACCTAGTACCTCACACATGCCAGGCAAGTGTACTACCACTGAGCCACAACCCCAGCACACTGATTCTTGATTTTACTTCTTGCATTTTAGAAGTCTTGTTGAGGAAGTTGGTTCCTAAGTCGACATGATGGAGAGTTGGAGCTACATTTTCTTCTAGGGGCTTAGGGTCTCTGGTCTAACGCCTAGGTCCTTGATCCACTTTGAGTTGAGTATTGTGCAGGGTGAGGGAGATTGTGATGCCTCCTCTTTCACTTTTCTCTYTGAGGATTGCTTTGGCTATTCTGCCGTTTTATTTTTCCAAATGAATTTTATGACTGCTTTTCTATTTTTAATTTTTTTATAATTGTAGATGGATAGCATGCCCTTATTTTATTTGTTTGCTTTTTTTTTTCTTTAATGTGGTGCTAAGGATCTAACCCAGTGCCTCACACATGCAAGGCAAGTGCTCTGCCACTGAGCTACAGCCCCAGCCCTGCTTTTTCTATTTCTATGGAGAACATCATTGGAATTTTAATAGGAATTGCATCAAATCTGTATAGGGATTTTGGTAGTTTGACCATATATATGTTATACATGGACACAATGTCTTTATTTTGGGCTGAGGATTGAACCCAGTGCCTCCCATGTGTGAGGCAAGCTCTGCCACTGAGCCACAGCCCAGCCCCAGTGTGGCCATGTTGACTACACTAATCCTACCTACCCAAGAACATGGGAGATCTTTCCATCATCTATGGGAGGTCTTCTTCAACTTATTTCTTTAGTGTTCTGTAATTTCCATTGTAGAGGTCTTTCACCTCTTTTGTTAGATTGATTTCCAAGTATAATATTATTATTTTTTTAGTATAATATTATTTTGAAGCTATTGTGAATGGGGTAGTTTTTCTAATTTCTCTTTCAGCCAATTCATCATTGGTGTATAGGAATGCAATTGATTTATGGGTGTTGATTTTTTTTATTCTGTTACTTTTACAGTATTTTAATAAAATGTCTTAATAAAAAGCACAGTAAGCTACAAAACAGTCACTTGTTCTATACAAAAGTACTTGTATTCTTTAGAATAAAATACAATTCAAAATTATCTAGACTCCCAAAACTGTATTTTTGTTGTTTTTTGAAATTGTAGGGTAAAATGGCAACAGGAAACATCAGTCATAAAGAAAAATCAGTTGAAATAAATCATGAAATTGCTCACCATATTAATAAACTACCAAAGCAAGAGGATTCTAAGAGGAAAAATGAAGGTAATTTTAACAACTTTAGCAGGTCCTGCTTAGGGCTGTGGGTCTAGCTTAGTGGTAGAGTACTTGCTTGCCATATGTGAGGCCCTGGGTTTGATGATCCCAAGTACTAAAAATAAAAGTCTCCTTTATTCTTTTTTTTTTTTTTGAATTTTTAATATTTATTTTTTAGTTCTCGGCGGACACAACATCTTTGTTGGTATGTGGTGCTGAGGATCGAACCCGGGCCGCACGCATGCCAGGCGAGCGCGCTACCGCTGAGCCACATCTCCAGCCCTCCTTTATTCTTACTTGATTGTTTTTGAACTGTGAATTACTACAGATGTGTATAGAGGCACACACACAACAAAAAGAGTTTACAGAATCAATCCAAGGAGCACCTTATACTCAGTACATTGGTTAAGTGTAGAAGAGGGTTGAGAGAATATAGCTTGGTGGTAAAAGGTATGCCACGAGGCCTTGGGTTTAGGTCACAGCACCAAAAAAAGAAAGAAAAGAGAACATTGGCACTTCTTAGAACACCCCACGGGCCCTTCACAACCTAAGCCCTTGCCCGCCCACCACAAAGGACTGCCATCTTGGGTCATTTCCTTGCAATCTCTCTCAGCTCCCTGTGCTGTGTGTGTCTGTTAATCCACTTGGGTTGCCAGAGAAAGTACCATCAACTGGTGGCTTGAACAACAGACATTTATTTCTCATAGTTCTTGAGGCTAAGAAGTCCAAACGGAAAGTTCTGACCACTTGGTTCCTGGCCTGCAGAGCCATCTTCTCACCACGTCTCCATTTGTTCTCTGCTCAGCGCCTGACTGGAGGAGGCCAGGAAGAGCGCCAAGGCCCTGGCTTCTTCTTAGGTCATCATCCCAACACCAGACCAGCCCCATCCTTAGTACTTCATTTAACCTTAATTATTCCCTAAAAGCCCCCTCAGGGCTGGGGATGCAGCTCAATGGAGGTGTGCCTGCCTGGTGTGTGTCACACCCCAGTCTTGGGGGAAGGGATGGGCAGGGAGCTCCATGTCTGATACAGTCCTACTAGAGGTTGGGGCTGCAGCGTATGAAATTGGTGGATAAGGGGAAATATAATCATCAACCCATAGCAATATATCCTTCCAAACAGAAGTGTTCAGCTTTGAACAACTGAGTCCCAATCTAGCTGATTAAAGGGCAATATTTCCAGGAAAAGATGAGCTAAACAGAGCCCCAGCTTCAGCTCCCCAGAATGAACAGGGGCTCCATAAGCAGGCGAGGGCATGAATTGTTCTTGGAGACAGAAAAGCCATCAGAGGAAGAGCCTCTGCCAGGACAGGTGAGGTGAAAGCCACGGGGTGATGTCCTCTAACCTGAACAGGGAAGGGCCAGAGGGGTGGGGGAATGGGCTGCTCAGAGCGTCCAGCCTTAAGATCACCAAAGCTTACCTCCAGCTTTCAGGAGGCCGCCAAAGGAGAATGCTTCTGGGGGTGCAAGGAGAGGCCGCAGGCTGCAGGGGACAATGGCAAGTGCAGCACTCCTCAGCCATGGACGAGGCAGGCCAAGACCCTGACGTACCTGGCACTGGGCCCTGGGGACAGCATGGAGCCGGGTCCTGGTCTATCTCTGCCTCTGGGTGCATGGCTGGGATCTCCTTGATTTCCTGCAGGCTTCTGTCACCACCTTCTCTACTAGATCTTCTATTTCTCAAACCAGGTCCTCCTCCTCCTCAGTGAGCCCCACTGTGTGTTAAAGAGCACAGCCCAGCCTCCAGGAGCTCCTTGAGGATGGGTGGGTGGAAGGTAAACGTGTTCCTTTCATCAGGAAATGTCATTACTCCATGAGTATATTTGATTAATAATCACTTGGAAAGAACATTCCAGGCTGGAGATCATTTTCTTTTTGAATTTTGAAAACATTACTCCCTTGCTTTTGCTTTATATCACTGCTAACATGCTATCTGGCTGAAAATTCTGCAAGGCTGGGCAAAAATAATTTCTGGGGAAAGAACAGTGAACTATTTGCAGAGACCACTTGGGGCTCCCTCAGAGTGGAGAGCCCTTGCTCAACACATCAGGCACTCCACAGACCCTGCAAGGCCCACACCTTAGTTGTGGGGCTAAAGAAGGTTTAAATCACACAGTTTGTCAGTCCCTGTCTGCAGTGTGGTGGACACTGATCGTCATCTGCACTTTCACTGTGGTCACTGCTCTACTAACGTCTTGCTTTTATTTTTTAAATTTATATGTGTAATTCATATTGTCCTAGAAAGTTTATTCATTCAAATGACTAATTCTATTTGGGCCTATAGTATGCGCCTGGCACTGGTCCAGCCACTGGGAAGGGAGCAGTGAACAAATGCGAAAGACCCAGCCCCAGGCCAGCGGTGCTGAGTATGCAGGGAGCCCTGGGTGCAACACCCAGCACCCAGGAGAAAAAGATAAACACACTGCCCTGCGGTGCTCGCACTGTGGCGTGGGAACCACTTTCCCTGTCAGCTCACATCACCGCCTCATTCTTCACAGTAGCCCAGAATCCACAGACACATGACAGGCTTGATTAACCACCACTCCTCTGACAAGTCTGTAAACCGTGTCGCAGTCAACATCTGGCTACCTCCTTTTGTGCATTTCTGTAGGCTTGGTCCTAGAAGTGAGGTGGTCAGGCCTATGAGTGTGTGCACTGGGAATGTCACTGGACACTGCCAAGTTGCTGTCCAGTGAAGCTCTACCAATGACACCCCYGCCAACTGGAAATCACATGTCAACTGGATGTGTGAAAAGCGTTCTCCTTGTCTAAACTGGCACCGCTTCCAGCTAGTGTTGTCAAACATCTGTTAGTAAAATTGTCAGCAAATTTTGTCTATGAATATCATTTTTATTTTGGTTTCATGATCTCCATTTATTTGGGATCTCATAGGAAAGTAAGACTTTTCAAGAGGGTCAATAGAAGACACCCCTTTCTGTGTTGTAGGATCTGTTTTCTTCCCTCTGCCGTGGTGCCAGTGTGCTTGTCAGGAAGGGTCAGTGCACCAACGCGCATCTTGAAAAAAGAATCCCCTGATTTTAAAGGGCACTGCCTTCTCTGCTTTTCCAATACAGATTTACCAAAGGAAGAGGAACATTTGGAAACACAAGCGCCTCTGGAGAATACTGGAAGACAGAAAGAGAAAAAGGAAGATCAAGAAAAGAAAACCATTTTGCAAGAACAAGAATTACCAACAAAAAGAATCCCAGTAATTCACCCTGAAAGAGAAAGCAGTCCGGGAGGTGAGCCGGTGAAGGACAAGTTCAAAGACAGCATGCCGACGCAGGACAGCGTGCAAACGGCCGACCAGACACCCGAGAGGTGCAAGTGCGCTCCTCCCAGCTCCAAGCTGGCCTGCAGACAGCGGAAGCACTACTCCTTCTCCGAGGCCACCGAAAACCTGCACCAGGGGCTGCCTACGGCGGGTGGGCACTTGGACACGGGCAGCACGCGGTGCGGGCACAGCTCCAGCAGACACCAGGGCAGCACAGAGGACACAGGGAAGCTGGTGAGCAGGTATGAGYCCTCCTTCGGAAAGTCCCCCAGAGCGAAAGCCAAAGACACGAGCTTCAAAGAGAAGAAGAGCCACCTCATGGAAGAGCTCTTTGGGTCAGGCTGTGTCTTAAAAAATGACCAGATCAGTCCAGCTGCTGTGGACAGATCCGAGGAGGCTCTGAAAAATAAGGCGGCACACCACGTGCCTCCAGGTCAGGCCTCCGCAGACAACACTTTCGGAGATTCTAACCTGACTGTGGTGGATTCTATCCAGTCATCTTCACCTACAGAAGGAAAAAGAAAAGTAATGAAGTATAATCAGTCAATATCCTGATATGTGCTTATGTCATATGCTGCTGCTCATGTGCTTCTAATTCACCATTCCTAACAGGAGAGGTTGTGTGTGTTAGTACTTAAATTGACCTTAGAGCTAATTTTTAAAATCCATTGTATATTATCCAATGGTAACATTTTAAATATAAATTTACATCTATTTTTCTAACTTATTTTTTGAAGCCGGGTTTATTACACAGCTTTAGTATTCYGTGGACTCCTGGCTGCTGCCCTCTAGTCATTGTGTGAGTACAGAAAGTTATAAGGAAACATTAGAATGCTACTTTTAATCTGAGGAATAAAATTGTGGCCAACTTTAAATTTTTTTTTAGTGTTCTCTACTTTGGCTTTCTTTTCATGTTTTCTGTCATGAATAAAACTTTACAATCAAGAAAAAAATGATTTTTTAAATAAAAACAGATTCATCACCTGAGGATGCATATCTACCTTCTGATAGAGAAGGTACTCGGACACTCTTGCTGTAAAAGAAAAAGAAAAAAGGGGGAAAAAAAAGAAGCTAAAGATGCACAGAAGAGGCCAGAAGTCAACGGGTCAGCCGCAGACAGGTGGGGKCGAGCACCAAGCAGGGAGGGGAGGGAGGCTCTGCAGCCACGTCCGCCAAAACCCGAGAACCTGAGCATCAGGCAGACATCCAGGGCCCACCTGGGCAGCTAAGTCGGGTCCCTTCCCCACCTAATCCTGACACTCCCTCCAGAGGGTCTGCAGCCTCAGCAAACTACAACCCTGTGTGTATAAGATGCTGAGATTTTGTGGCCAAAGTTATCCCTCATCTTCTGGGACAGCTTGAAACTGGATCACCCCAGGGTCTGTATACCTAGAACTGCAGGCTGGCAGGACCCCATGGCAATAGAAATGCAAATCCTCTCTGGAGGAACCTAGGCCTTAGGAAATCCTAGAGCTCTGGGGCTTGCCGGGTGGGCACTAGTGTGGTGGGTGAGAGAGGAAGAAATGGATCCCAAGCTCACCACATGCAAAAATCAATTCCAGGTGGATTAAAGGCTCGACTCTAGCCAGGTGTGGTGGCCCACACCTGTAATCCCAGCGACCTGGAAGGCTGAGGCAGGAGGATCATGAGTTCAAAGCCAGCCTCAGCAACTTATCAGACCCTGTCTCAAAATAAAAACACACTGGGGCTGGGGCTGTAGCTCAGTGGCAGAGTGTTGGCCTACCATGTGTGAGGCACTGGGTTTGATCCTTAGCATTGCGCAAAAATAAAGGCATGTTGTCCATCTACAACTATAAAAAAAAAGTTATTTTTTAGTTGTAGTTGGACACAATACCTTTATTTTATTCATTTATTTTTATGTGGTGCTGAGGATAGAACCCAGGGTCTTGTACATGCGAAGTGAGTGCTCTACCGCTGAGCCCCACCCCAGCCCACGAAAAAAAATAAAAATAAAATTTAAAAAAGTTAATGGGGCTGGGGCTGGGGCTCAGCGGTAGAGTACTCACCGACCAGATGCCGGACACTGAGTCCAGTCCGATCCTCAGCACCACATAAAAATAAAATAAAAGCATTGTGATGAACTACAACTAAAACAAACCAAAAAAAGTTACAAAATAAAACATACAAAAAAAGGGCTGGATGGGCTGTGGCTGTGGCTCAGTGGTAGAGCACTTTCCTGGTATGCGTGAGGCACTAGGTTCAATCCTGGCACCACATACAATAAACAAATAAAATAAAGATATTATGTCCATCTACAACTACAAAAATATTTTTTTAAAAAAAAAAAGGGCTGGGGATGTGGCTCAGTGATTAAACGCCCCTTAAAAAAAAAAAAAAAAAACAACTCTGCGCAGTTTCCCCACTTAAAGTCACTCTTTTTTCTCTGTGCATAAGTATTTTATGGAGAGGTCATGAGACAATGCAAATACCTTGCTGGTACATTTC